ATGCCTGGTCTTCCTGGTTCTCCTGGGCCACATGGCCAGGATGGCATGCCTGGTAAATTATCTTGTTGTTTCTAACAGGATAGTAGGAAATGCCAATTATTTTACTTTTAGCATGACAATCAGGGATGGGCATGTCTGCAGCACGCAGTCCTTCTGCTAGGCCTGAGGTTGTGATGAGTGTGAAAGCCTGATGTAGGTCCATCCATTGATATGAGCACAAGCCTTAAAAGAGGTCAAGTCAGAATGCTGGTAGGTTTAGGTTTACGCTGAAACCAGGTCAGTCTACGATACCGCAGTCAGTGTAACAAGCAGAAGCATTCAGTGCTGCATGTCCAAAGAAGGGCAACGAAGCTGGAGAAGGTTTAGAGCACAAGTCTTATGAAGAGTGGCTGATGGAACTGGGGTTGCTTCTAAAGAAAAGGAGGCTCAGGGGAGACCTTATCACTCTCTACATCTATCTGGAAGGAGGTTGTAGTGGGGAGGGTGTTGGTCTCCCAGGTAACAAGCAATAGGACAAGAGGAAATGGCCTCAAGTTGTGCCAGGGGAGATTTAGACTGGATATTAGGAAAAAAATTTCACCAAAAGGATTGTGGAGCATTGGAACAGACTGCCCAGGGAAGTGGTGGAGTCACCATCCCTGGAGATATTTAAAAGACATGTAGATGTGGTGCTTATGGTGGGATGTGGTTTGGTGGTGGACTTGGCAGTGCGAGGTTAACACCTGGACTCAGTGGTCTTAAAGGTCTTTTCCAGCACAAACGATTCTATAATTCTGCGATTACTGGAGCTTTCAAAATCCATGTCTTTGTTATAATTTTTAGTTACAAAATATCCTGTTCTTTTGCAGGCAGAGAAGGAACAACAGGTCCAAAAGGTTCTCCAGGTTCTCCAGGAGCGCCAGGATTTCCAGGAGCTCAAGTAAGAATTCATTTTTTCAGATAATTTTCAGATCCTACAAGAATTATTTCAGAGAAACCTCATGGCTAGTGTTACATAGTGACATACTGGGTGATCTCAACAGTTTTCTTTCTCTAGTAATGAATATGTTCACATGGGAGACCTAGGTAGAGACTGTAATGTATGGCTGACGTAGCTCTACATGAGTCTGTTTTGCTTAGTGGAGCAAGAAGTTCAGCCCAGGCAGTGAGGCAGGTGAATACCTGTGTGACTAACCTGTGCTGCATTTCATGATGACTAGACTGTCTTCTGTCTGATGTGGTTAGTTTACAGTTAACTTCTGTTCATTTACAGAATTATATAATCATGGCAGTGGCTGTAAAGCATATAGAGAGTTTTGTGTGCTGTGATCCTCATCAGACTTTTTACTTCTGCTGTTTCCAGCACACTCAGGACTTGCTAAAGCCCCAGCTGTGCAGAGGAACTTGCTTCTCACAATACCCTCCTCAAGGGTGCAAAGGACATTCCCTCTTGGAGAACATTATGAAGAGGGAAGGCTGCCACCTGCTGCCGCAGACCATTTAGACCATTTAATTGTTCTGATTTGTGCCTGTAGTAGTAATCTTTTGTAGGAAATTACAGTTGGTGCTGTCCAATTTTTAAAAAGTCACGCTCAAGTATTTATTGTGGTGGTTGCCATACAGATGCAGAATGAGTCTGCTAATAGGCTTTTCCAGAAGGGTCCCAAGAGTTCATGAGCCCAAGATCACTACAGCCCAGTATGCTTCCAGCTTGTACTAGTTTTGACTGGAATAGAGTACCACTTTTTACCTTGAGGGAGAAAGAAGGGAGAGGAGAAGTTAACTATGATCAAGCCAACTGTGGCAGTTATAGTGTCCCTAGGGAGATCTTCCCATGTGGAGGAGAAATCTCTAATTAGATTTTAAGGTACTTTCCTGTCCTTATTTTTGTGCCACCAAAGCACAACCAGGTAGCTGACAGTCTGATCCATTAAATAATCCTGCATTATGCTGCTTATAGTAATAATAATCATGTCCAAAAGGAGTAAGGCCAGGAGAAAAAGAAAACAAACAAACAAATAAAACCCCCCACCAAACAAAAAAACCTGACCCTGTTTATTGAAGTGTGCCATTACAATGAATAAAGATGAACATAAAGAGAACCACTGTCAAGTACTGAATTTAAAAAAAAATAACTCGAAAACAGTTGACATACGTTGGCACTAACAATGAATAAAGATGAACATAAAGAGAACCAGTGTCAAGTACTTAATTTAAAAAAATATAACTTGAAAACAGTTGCCATACGTTGGCACTGTAATGCTTTTAATTGCTCTGTTCTAGGGACCTCCAGGTTTTACAGGAGATCAAGGCCATAAAGGATCAAAAGGTGAGCAAGGATATGTGTATCCAGAAGGGCCAAAAGGTGAGCGAGGAGATCCAGGGGCCAGGGGAGACAAAGGAAGAAAAGGTTCAAGTGGATTTCTGGGAAGACCTGGCGCTAAAGGATCCAAGGGTTCTAAAGGTGAAGAGGTGGGTATGCACTGTGCGCAATTGAAAACCTAAGTCAGTATTTATATCTTGTACAACAGTTTTATCTATTCAGATACTTAAACTGAATATCTTCTACCCTACTTAGGGGTGCTGTGCTCAACTGTAGCAACCAATATGCATAACCAACATGTGCGGAAGAATGAGAGTAAATATTCTTATGTAGTACCAGAGAGAGATGAGGCTAGCATAGATACGTGCTGCTGAAAAACCTCAGCAGTCTTTCTGGTGTAAGTTTGGATATTTATATTGGAGCATTATCTTGGATTCCTATGATGAATAAGATTTTTTTTAAAAAGACAGTTTTCCTGACTACCTACAATGCTTTAAAGAAAATAATAATTCAAATAGTTCCTGTTCAGTCTTTAGGACTTCAGTCAGGGCTGCAAGAAACCACAAATGCTGAGAGGGCTGGCCATAAAACTAGAATGGTTAGAGGAGAGCTCTTTGTTCAGTAGAAACAAAAAGGAACAGTTGTTGTGTTGTGTTGGCTGAGAAACTGTTACAGTGCTTCACATATAACTGTCTTTAAACCTAACTCCACGGTATTCAAGGAGAATCAGAGCTGAGTTGCTTTTTACCAAAGCTGTTTCAAAAAAGAAAAAAAGTGTACAATGTAATGCCACAGTGATTGAAAAATCAAGCTGTTGTATTTATTAGTATTATTTCACTGTTAATAGCCCTCTATTTGTAACAGTTGACATTAAAATGTATATTCTTTTAATCACAAGTTAATCGGGAAAAAGCTCCTCTTAAATTAGCAGAGCTATTCTGTTATTAAAGTAATGCAAAATTATAGTCAGTCAGAAAACTGGGCATTTTGTTATGAAAGCTGGTGTGGAAAGCAAGTAATGCTAATAACACATGTGTAATCACTAATAGGGATTGGCTGGTTTGAAAGGAGATAGAGGACTACCTGGGTTGCCCGGCAGTCTTGGGCTTCCTGGAGAGATGGGGCTTCCTGGACTGCCAGGATACGGACCACAAGGAATAAGAGGTTTCAAAGGCTCCAAAGGAATACCTGGTCCACCTGGATTACCTGGAGAAGCTGGTTTGTAACTAATTTTCAATTGCATTTCTCAACTGCATCATTTTCCTGTTGACTTTGTGCTTCCTTTCTGAGTGTACACTAGATTGCAGGAGGGCTGAGAGGTGGCCTTGGTGTCAGTAAAATTCTTTTGTTTTATGAAGCCAGGATCTGAAAGCTTTTCAAAGCCTGTTGGAGTTTCAGAAATATGAAAACTGTAGAATACTGTATTTTTAACCAAGTAGATTATTCACTAGTATTTTTAAACACTTAAGATTATATATTGCCAAACTATAAGCCTTTGTAATCATTGATTATGTATTTGCTGAAGGTCTGAAAGGAGAGACCAGTAGGATAACCCCATTACCTGCATTACCAGGACCTCAAGGACCAGATGGTTTACCTGGACCCCCAGGAGTGCCTGGTGAGTATATCTGCACTAAATATAGTAAAAATGAGAGGTAATCTGGTTCGAATTTCTCTCCCAGCTCTGACCAGATAAAACTATTGGGTTACTGTGAAATAACTATGAAAAGTATTTCTGTGGTACAGAAACTATGGAATTAGTTGTAACATTCCCTTTGAGGAAAACTAGGGCAGTGGATGTGAATAAGAAGGGCACAGAGGGCCCTGTCCGTGGTGTGCAGTATGGTGGAGATTTCAAGCAGTCCTATGCTATGACTTGGTTCCTCCAAGAACCAGAAACATCTTGTGCATGTGCCACAGCTTGTATATCCAGAAAGGCACCGCTGGCATAATTTTGACAAAATTGTATCCTAAGTCATGCTGGGACTGCTGCAACCTTCAAAACAATGAGCAAATGTTTGTTGAATGAGTGAAGATACGTTAAAGCATTCTTAGTCTATCTGAAGCCCTTGGCCCTTGTGCTTTGCAGGGGCAAAGTCAAAAATGTAACTGTGTGACAGAGCACTGTCCATACAGGTGGTGAAGTGTCCTTCTCTGGAGATATCCAAAACCTGCCTGGACACGATCCTATGCAACTAGCTTTAGGTGAACCTGTTTTAGCAGGGAAGTTGGACTTGATGATCTCCAGAGGTCCCTTTCAACCCCTATCATTCTGTCATTCTGAGATCATGAAGTTTCCCAGTTCCATGATCATGAAGTTTCCTAGTTCCCTTTTGACATGACTGTTACTAACCATTGTTCTAAGATATTAAGAATCTGAGTTTCCTTTTTTGGGTGGATTTTGGGCTTGGGTTTTCAGTGGGATTTTTTTTTTTGGTTGCTGGCATTTTAAATTTTGCCGAATTTTTGAATGCACTGAAGGACAGTAAGTGACATTCAGGCTAACTGTAAGGCATCCTTGCTTTGATTTTGTAGAACAATCATCCCCAAAGCTGCCCTAAATAGCATGGGCATATTCCTTGGCAGCTTTATAGTAGTGTCTGTTTTTATAGTTGCTTCTGTTCCAAGCCTCATCTCTATAATGTGTGTTTGTATCTTCTAAACAAGTTGGATTTGTATCTGCATGTAGTTGTTCCTAGAAGTCTGGAATTTGCATAAACTTAAGTCATACACTCATGCCTGGATTGATACAGTGAACACAATTAGCATGTTAACTGTGAAAACCTGCTGTGGAGGAGAAATAGTAAGGTTCTAATATAAACTACAGTGGTGTCCTAATTAATAATGATAAACTATAAACCACCTAATCTTACAAGTTGATGTTCACAGTTTACTTATTTTCTTTGTACAGGTAGGGTTGGAACAAGAGGTCAGCCAGGTGATTCAGGACATCCAGGGCCAACAGGTGACACAGGCTTTCCAGGGCTTGGGTTTCCTGGAAACCCAGGTCCAAAAGGTAAAATACTCTTTTTGATCATCTTCTTCTTCGAAAATAAAAGAAAAACAAAAACTCTACTATTTTTTGTAGTCTACATTAAAAACAATCAAAAAGTTAAAAAAAACAACAGTGAACTTTAGATAGGCAAGTGTTTTTACCACTCTTGTAATTTACTTCCTTAAGGCTTATAAATTGCCAGTTTGAAATGTTTTGCAGTATTTCAGAGAATCAAGTATCAAAGATAGCAGTAGGAAAATATTTTAAAAGACATTGATGCTTCCTGGACTACTGCGCAAACAGGTGCAGCTTATCTGAGTGCCACACTTACTTCAGATGGATTCTGTTTACCTGGATATGAATTACAGAGACAGCTGTGTAAGTGTCAGTACTTTTTTTTTAATCAGTTAATGTGCAGGTAATAGAAAACATTTTGAATACTGCAAATTTGGCCATTCCTCATGCAAAGTCATACCCCACTTTGGATACTAGAAATACTAAGAAATTCTCATAATCCTATCAGGACAGGAGAGGGGAAAAAAAAAAAGTTGTGATACTAAAACTACTACCAAGCTGCTTGTTAAAGAAAACAGTACAGAACTGACATCAGAATAGCTTCAGTTTTTAAAAAAACCCCATGTTAAAGAACTGTTTTGAAGCAAGTTACCCAGCAGTGTTAGTCAATGTTGAGTGAATATGTAAGGAACAAGATGAAGTTTGTCACACCAGCTCTGAAATTAGGATTCTGTCGTCAGTTCATGTAAGCTGATTTAGTGTCAGAGGCTTATAACTGCACCCATACAAATACCCATTTGTAAAATAAGGCTGTAACCATAGATCTGCACTGCCATTTAATTCCTTTTGCAGGATATAAAGGACTTGCAGGAGGCAGAGGGTCACCAGGTTGTGAAGGAAAGACTGGAGATCCAGGCCGAGCTGGAAACCTCGGCCAACCAGGAGAAAAGGTTTGGTTAGAAATACAGCGCAGACTTTTCCATAGGTCCTATTCAGTAAGTGTGACACTGAGCAAATAAATGAAGAACTGCAAGGAATATTGGAGTTCCTGTATTTCCTGACCAGTGATACACAAACTATGAAATTTGGTACTTCAGTTTTCAGAGCATAAGGAGGATATTGCATTGCTTACAGTAAAAAAATATGGTCACAGCTTCTGAAAAGATGGCTATTCAGAAATTGCAATTAAGCACATTTTTGATGGAAGTCAGTGACAAGTAAGTATGCATTTAATTTAAGCAAGTGCTCTGTTGAATTGAAGCATAGAGTAAGGTGGTTGGAGGTAATACTTCAGCCACTTCTGCTAATTAACAGAAGCTAATCTACTGGTGGCTTATCTTAAGTCTAGGACTCTTGACTACTCTGTAATCCGGATTCAAATTTGAACAAAATAATAACACCTAAATGTTTCGAAAAACTGGCATTTCTTTAATTTTTTGTGTTCTCATATGTCATTCTTTTGTGTGTTTTTTGACATGACAAAGTGTGAGGTTTGAAGTCGTGGATTTTTTTAGTATTATTATTATTTAACCTGTGTTTGATGCCACAGAACAGCTGGATGTGGAGTGGCCTTTGCGGTCCAAGTATATAATCAGTGACAGGTATAAGCTCAGCTCTACTGACCTGCTTTATGAACATACTGATTTTCTGGTACTCAAACTTAGTATTCAAAACAACCAGTAGTTCAGTCAGTCAAAAAAAAAATTAAAAAAATTCAAACTTTCCTTTCAGGGAACAAGCTTGAGATATTGGTGATATAACCAGTCTTCATGGAAAACAATGTTCAGAAGCATGATTTTTAAAACACAAAGGATTTTTAAAAACTGACTTCTGAGTATTCTGAGACATAGCTGTGTGCTGACCTTGATTATTTAAATTAATATTTTATAAAAATAAGGGAAAGTTGTATTTACACACACTTCAACCAAATTGTCAGATACAAGTCCAAAGTTTTTCACAGCTATGGCAAGCATCACAATGCAGGAAAGGCCAAATGGAGGGAAGTATCTTGCATTGCTCAATGGCCATTTCTTAGAGTTAGGAGACAGAGTTCAAAAGCTGTCCAGACGAATTACTCGTCTGGTATGGAACCCACAGCTGGACAACAAGGAACATCCAGTGGGTCTGCTGAACTGGGACCATTAAAAGTTCTAATGTGAGAGATCACCAGGGAATGGAGAAAATTACCCTAATAAGTTAATTGATCACACAATGGAGAAAATATCTGGGCAGATTTGCAAAACATAATGGATTGTTTACTTTTCTCTGTGTTGCAGGGTGACCCAGGCATGGTTATTCCTGGCGAGGCA